AATATTTTGAAAGTAATAATTCATTGCCAAGTAATGTTTGAGGATAATTAATTACTAGTGTATATGGTATATGAAAACGTTTGCCTAACAGATTTATAATAAGAATCTTTTCCATTTTTTTTCTTTGTTCGGAAACTGTTCGGCGCGAAGTTTATTTTTTTTTTCTTATTTATTATCCATTCAAAATAAGTACTCAATTTTTGACTATTCATAAACATTTGACTTTTATTATAAGATGATAGTTTATTTACAATAGAAAAAAACAAAAACAAATTCATTTTGGATTATTGAAATAATTAATCTGAATTCAGTTAGATTAAAAGAGGCACAAATAACAGTTAGAAAAAAGGAACACATTTAGACGTTTGACCATAACAAGATGCATATAACCACCGGAGCAAAAAAAAAAGAAAAAGAATTATTGCTCGCTTATAATAGAAAAAATTTCATCTTTGTTGTTTTTCTTTTTTTACAATAGTTCTAATCGGTCCTTTTTAGGTATTAATAATTGCAATCTTGATCGATTTATAGCTGTTTTATTTTTTGCTGCTAATTTTGATTGTTGTTGTTGTTTAGCAGAAAATAATTGTTGCTCTTGAAGAAAATTTTCCATTGAACCAAATTGTATAAGAACTTCAGTACGACTTTCTTCATCAAGTTCAGTTAAATTAATCCATAATAAATTTGTTCTAAGTATATCATCAGAAAATTGTTCACCAAATATAGATAAACGTTGTTTTTGTGGTAATGCTGTCGGACGTGGTGGTGGAGGTGGTGTTGGTGGTTGTGGTGGCGGTGGTGATGATGATAATGATGATGAATTAACAAGTGTTTGTTTCGTTGATGATGCATGAGAAGTTTTAGTTGAAACTGAAGTTAAAGCACGAGAGTTTGAATTATTATTATTTGTTGTTGATGATCGTGTTGAACGTATTGATAAAGTATCCATTGGTGATGTTCGTTGTTTGGTTAAAGTGGATTGTTTTGGTTGTACTGGACGTGTCGGAGTTGTAATTGCTGTTATAGGCCGACGAACAGATGGTGTATATTTTTTTATTGTAGCAATAGCAGTAGCCGTTGATGAAGATGATGCTTCTATTGGTAATGAAGGTTTGAGACGTTTAATTGGACCTGGACGATTTTCAACATCACATGATGATGCAGATCGTTGTACACCTTGACCAGATCGTGATGGAATATTATGACGAGATGATGTTGAAAGTGAAGTTGTAGCTGTTGTACTTGATGTGACTGATGATGTTGATGTTGGTGACACTTGCATTGGTGACGAACTTGCAGCTATACATATATATATTATAATAGATATTATTAAGAAACATTTTTCTTCAAACAATAATTATACTCACTATTCGACAATGAATGACGTCCTTGCCGTTTGGCTACATTGAGCCGAACGCCCATGGCAGCTTCAAGTGCCTCCAGACGTGACTGTAAATTGGGTCCAAGTGATTCTAAATATATTTCAATACAAGAGTAATCAATCAAGCAAATCAATCAATATGGATTCTCCCGTTTTTTTTTCGCGCTCTCATTTTCTTGCATATATTTCCTTGAGAATCTACCTGAACGTTGCAATCTTGTCGTCGTATGCATACTATATTTTACACGTTGTATCAAAATCAGATTACAAAATTCAATAGAAGAAACGGTAGGCAATTCACTACTTCAATTTGTGCGTTTATGTGTTTGTGTAAAATAGAAAAGAATATGCTGCCGCGTTCTAACATGCTAAAAGCATGGTGCACAGATCTGCTTCATTTTATGATCTCGTTTTTTTTCTTTTTTCTTCTTTTTTGTTCTTTTCCTTATTTTCTCCTTTATCTTATTTCTTTTATTAATGTGTGACAATTGTCAACGGAAAAGAAACTTACGCTCACTATGGCCAGTTATGACGCCAGTAGTTGAAGCACGCGATATTGTTGACGTAGTTGATGTTGTTGTTGTTGTTGTTTGAAGTTTAGGCATATTTATTTGAGAAAAGCTTTTTGATTCATATAATTAATGTTAAAAACAGAGAAGTGTAATCTTTACTAAGCATCAACGATTGATTTTAACCTTCTGGTATATGTGTATGTTACTTCTCATTCGTTTTCGTTTCTCTGTATCTCTCTCTCTTTCTCATTCTCGCTCAGTCATCCATCTCGTTCCTTCTTGTTCTTTGCTGTTCGTTTTACTTATGATGATATGCTTTATATGTAATAAATGATGAGTGTATCGAGTGATGTAGGAGGGTTGAGGACAAGGTTTCTTACTCGATATTCAGCGTCAAATGTATGAACGAAACGAGCAATGAACGACGAGCGATTAAGTCATGCTTACAAACAAGTAGAGAGAGGCATACGAATAGGTCGAAAGAAAGAGAGACGAGTAAGCGGCGAGTTAGAAAGAGAGCGGAAAAGGTGTTTCAACATATACAACTCACAAAGGACAGTTACGTGGCGCACGCGCCTATACTCATGAGGGATTAGAGGTCGAAAGGAGTGTGCGAGACTCTCTTCTTTCTTTTTTTTCTTTAATCTCGTACGGTTACAAAGCTAGCACGCTCCCGTCTAATTGGACAGACTTCTCGATGTCTGTCCAAACATAGAAAAAAGTCAAAAGTACACATCGTAATTTTATTAACCTAATAAACTGAACACCGATGAAATTGATATTTAAAGTTTTATGACGAAATTTCATTTTCATTCAATTCAAATTTATTGACCGTTGGCATAGATTGTTGTTATTCGTGTGAATATATTATATTCCTGTCAAGTTTGGCGTCATCTATTTGCTTTGTAATGGGATTTAATATAGAATAGATTTTTTCTGTGCTTATTGATGTTGCTATGATGAATGTTTGAGTCAACATGATCGCTTTCTTTTTCGTTCAGTATTATACAAGAAACATATAACTTAAATTCTAATGGTAATAAGTTAATAAGTTTTTGGTTTCTATTAAATGTAATCTTTTCAATTTATCTTTTATGTTTCTGTCGTTTTTTTTATGAAATGTTTCTTTTTCTCTTCTATATAAATGATTACTCTTCTTGATAAAGTTGATTAATATTTACACGTTTGTTTTTTTTTTGATTCATTCATTGTTTGATTACTTTATAAATATCAATTTTTTATTTTAATATTGCTTTTTCAATAATAATTTTTTTTTCTCCAATGAAATCTTTCTGTACATGAATTGATTTTGTATGTTGTCACTGATGATTATATAACAAAAAAACTCAATGCATTGATTGATTTGTTTTTTATAATAAGTGGAAAAATGTTTTTTAATTAGATTTTATAATATATAAATTAGTAAATATTAATAAAAAATTTTTTAAAGTATAGTGAAACCTTGAATAAGATAAGTGTATGTTTTAAGAATAAGGTTATAGATAAGATTTGAACTATGATCGAGTGATTTGATATGATTGTAAATTAATTTGAAGTGTTAGTGTGATTGTTGAATTGATTTCAAAACTGTAATCAACAATAGTTCTAGATGTCAAACATTCAAAATAGTAACGATTGTAAAAATTTTCTTTCATATTTTTTTGTAAATCTTTTAATTAAATATGGTTTGTGAGTTTTTAATTATTATGCATTTTAATTTTTAGTGAGAAGAATAACATTTTTTATTTTATTGTCATGAGAATCAATATTGATGTTTTCTGTAGTAATTCTCCAGTTTGTTTATGAGACTCACCTAATCAAATTTATTCTTCTTTCTTTTTCTTATTGTTTAGACATTTCGTTTACTTTGATCGAAAATTCTACCATAGGATAGAACAATTCGACATATTCAGCTGCATTGTTAATCCTGAATAAGGGTATTGAGATTGATGTTTGCTTAAAGCATTTTGTCTTTCGTATTATTGCCATCGTTTGATATCATTATCTGTCTCACAACGCTTTCCTATACAAAGGTTTTACTTTATTCTGATTAATCTGAGCCGAAAAAAATAAAATAAAATTTTTTAATTAAATATGCGATTTTTTCATTAGCTGAAATTTGATTACATTTAGTCTATGTTTTTCTTATCAATAAATTTGAGCAAATGCATTAGCAAACAAAATAAAGACGTCTATATTTGTTGTACAATTTGTTATCCCAATTTAGATATACAGAGTTTTTCAATAGACAAGTATGATAATAAAAATTGCGGAAGGAAAATATAAACAAATTTGTCGACCAAACCTAAAAGTTATTTTTTTTTTATTTCGAATTACATAAGTTATTTGAGAAAACATCCTTTTTTGTGCCAAACAAAATAAAAACAGCATGTATTTCAAAACAAAGTCTTTCTTTGAGATCGTATTGTATAGTTTTAAGAAAATTTGTAAAAATTATTCCTGTTTTAGTTAGAGTTGAATGAAAAAGAACAATCCATTTATACGAAGTGCAATTGTTTCGTAAAACAATACAATCTATACTCAATAAACTGAAGAGATAATTAATACAAAAAAAAAAAAATCCTTTTTCTTTTATTATTCAATAAGCATCAGGAAAGGTGATCCTTCAATCTTGGAAAATTTTTATTTTACTCTAGTCAAGTCGAACGATTTTCTTCATTTGTTTTGCTTACCATGCCCTACAGCAAGGATTACCCTAATACAATCTTAGCGATTTCAAGACATCTCTGAACTTTAGAAGAAAAAATAATAGCCATAGAAAAATTCAACATGATAGTACTAATAATTCATTAATGGAATATTAATATTGATAGACATTGGTTCCAGTTTTACATGGTTTGTTCACTATTATTGACTCTATTAAAAAAGAACAAATATTTGTATTTATGGTGTTTCTTATTTTGATTGTATTGAACCGTGAAATGAAACTACTTTATTCTGCAATACGAAGACAAACTAATAACTGGTTAAGACTACTGAGAAATGCCATAATGAAAGAAAAATACGAGACAAAAAAAAACAAAGTTTTTCTTGTTCAATAGGATGATTGCCGTTCTCATTTATTTATTATAATCTTGAATGTATATTTATGAATTTCTTTCCGAAATCTTGATGGTAACCTATAAAAAAAAAATAATTAATAAGACAAAAAAAAAACATTTTTTTTTTAAATTTTCCACTTGAAATACATACACATTTAGTTTCTGTGTAAGAATCTAATGAAAATTCACTCTTTTCTCGACCAAGACCACTCTGTTTAAATCCACCAAATGGTGCAACTGGATCAAAATTATCATATGTATTAACCCAAATTGAACCAGCTCGAAGACCATTAGTAACAACAATAGCTTTATCTAAATCTTTTGTAAAAACACTTGCAGCTAAACCATAATCTGTATCATTAGCACGTTCAATAACTTCATCAATTGTCTTAAATTTTAAAATTTGCATTACTGGTCCAAAAATCTTTAAGATAGAAAACAAAAAAATTCATCGAAAAAAAGTAAATAAAGTATCATTGATTACTTCTTCACGAGCAATTCGATGGTTATCGTGTACGTCAGAAAAAAGTGTTGGTTGAACAAAATAGCCTTTATCGCCTACACGTTCACCACCTACAAGTAATTTAGCACCAGCTCTCTTTCCTGAATCAATTAAATCCAAAATTTTATCCATTTGTTCGTGACTAATCTACAAAAAAAAGAAAACAAAAAAATAATAGAGCAAAAACAAAAATCTGTTTTAATTACTTGAGGTCCTTGTTCAGTACTCTCATCAAATGGATCTCCAACTTTTCGTCGTTTTGTACGTTCAATACTACGTTGAACAAATTCATCATAAATTTTTTCTTCAACATATGTACGTGATCCAGCTAAATAAAAATTATTTATTTTTCTCTATATAAAATATTAAAACAAATAAGTAGAACATACCACAACAACATTGACCTTGATTAAAGAATAAAGCAAAATGAGACATTTCAACAGTTGAATCAACTATAAATAGAGTTAATAATGTAGTTTTTGTTCATATATTCAATAAAAAAAGTTTTTGACATACGATCACAATCAGCAAAAACAATATTTGGTGATTTTCCACCAAGTTCAAGTGTTGTACGTTTAACCATTTTAGCTGCTTCAGTTCCAATAATTTTACCAACTTGTGTTGAACCAGTAAAGGCTATTTTCTGAACATCTGGATGTCTTACAATTGAACCTCCACAATGCGGTCCATCACCAGAAAGAATATTGATTACACCCTATAAAAGAATATTTCTTATTTATTTTCAAAAAAGAGTTGAAAATACTAGCAGGAGGGAAACCAGCTTCCTGAATTAATCTTGCTGTATAAAGACCGGTTAAAGGTGTATGTTCATCAAGTTTAATAATTGTTGTACAACCAGTTGCTACAGACGGACCAATTTTCCAACAGAGTAAAATCATTGGAAAATTCCACTAAAAAAAATTCACATGAATAAGAATTAATTTTAAAAAAAGTTTTGGATCTACTGGAATGATTTGACCAACAACACCAACAGGTTCACGTCGTGTATATGAAAAAAAATCACCACTAATCGGTAAAACTTTTCCATTCATTTTATCTGGCCATCCAGCATAATATCTATAAGAATAACAAAATCAACATATATATATGAAAAAAAAGTAATATTTATTTTCATACCGGAGAACAGCAATACAATGTGGTATATCAATATTATAGGCATCTTTGAATGGTTTACCATTATTATATGTTTCTAAAGCAGCAAGATAAGCTCGATCACGTTCAATAAGATCAGCAAGTTTGTTAAGTAGAGCACCGCGACCTGCAGGATCCTAAATAAAAACTAATACTTTATTGATAATAGAATACAAAATGTCACGCTGACCATACGACGCCATTCTGAACCAAGTCGAAAAGCGTCTTTAGCAGCTTTGATTGCTTTATCAGCATCTTTCTAATCAAATAGTAATAAAATTGACTTTAAGAAAGTTCACAAAAAAAAACTTTTCAAAAAACTCATACTTCTGAACCATCTGCAACCTCAGCGATAACATCACCAGTTGCTGGATTGATAACTTCAAATGTACTTCCATTTGTTGAATCAATAAATTCATTATTAATAAAAAGCTAGAAAAAGAATGTAAAATGGATACAAAATTTTCAAATATTTATTTATTTTTAGGGATAAACAAACTTTATGATATTTCACATCCGGTTTTCGTTCGACTACAGGTTTTTGTTGTGCAGATGCTGATGAAGCACGTGTTGTTAAACGAAATCCATGATTAAGTACTTGTCTACATAAAAGTTTAGATAACATATTTGACGAATCTTCTTGTTTATCTTAATGAATCTACTTTTATTTTGGACCGTTTGTATTGCGTTTGTCTTCTCTTAATATAGTAAATCGATAGAAAAGAAAATATATACCCCACATTGCCCTTCTTCTTTTTTTTTTATTGCTTGTCGAGCGTCGAGAATCTTTTCTGTTCTTTTGTATTTACCCTCTATCGACATGTGCACCTCGAGCTTATTTTTCTCAATGTCATTGGCCCCTTGCCAATTATCGTACTGTATAATCCCAATTGCTCGTTCGCTGCGATAAATACAGAATTTTTCTATAACTAATTAATTTTATATTTTATTTAAAAGCAATAAAAGATAAACGAAACATTCCCGTACATAAATGAAACAAAAAACAGAAAAGAAATTATCGATACAATATATCCCAAAGTGCATTTATTTTCTTGAATAAACAATTATTTTTTAATGTTTAAGTAAGTCGTAAAATAAGATGAATTTCACCATGTGAACCAAGACCAAGATGAGCAGGTAATTTAACCCATTCATCTAAATGACCACCAGCCTGTTGAATTTTTTTTAAACTAATCTTACGAGGGAACATTCCCAACTGTCACATCGCTTTTAAGTCGAGTGTATGCGCATCATGTAGGCCCTAATGATCTATGAATACTCTGAAAAAAGTTCGTGCTGCTAGCTTATTACTGCCGAGATATTGCATTTTTACTGTATGTTTAAGCAAAAAGCCGTGGTTCCCCCCAGGAACACTAAGAAAACTGAGTTTCAAATTTCGACTTGAAACTTTGTACATAGATAAGCCTCAATGAGAATAGTTTATTGTGAAAGTTTCAGATCTTTTGATTGCTCCTAGTCTGAAATAAGAACATCGGAATCTACTGATGTGTATAAGCGATTTTACCATAGCTGTATCTTAGGATAGGAACAACGAAAAGATCTGAAACTTTCACAATAAACTATTCTCATTGAGGCCTATCTATGTACAAAGTTTCAAATCGAAATTTGAAACTCAGTTTTCTTAGTGTTCCTGAGGGGGACCACGGCTTTTTGCTTAAACATACAGTAAAAATGCAATATCTCGGCAGTAATAAGCTAGCAGCACGAACTTTTTTCAGAGTATTCATAGATCATTAGGGCCTACATGATTCACATACACTCGACTCAAAAGCAATGTGACAGTTGGGAATGTTCCCTCGTTAGCTGAACCGATTGAATCTTTACCAACTATGTCTTCATCATATACTTTGATATGTAAATGATCTTGTCCTTTTAATAAATTACTGTTCAATTGAAAGAAAAAAAGAAAGCTTATAATTTTCTAAAATTCAAAGATGCAAAAAAATCAATATTGACTTACAAATTAAATGTTTCATTCCATGTAGGTGAATTTGTATCTTTGATGATTGATGTGCGTTGTTTATAATCTTTATCTAAGTATAATTCAATATAAGCATCATTTTGACCGAAAGTATCTTTATCTTTGAGATTTCGACCTTCGACAACAGTAACTTGAAGAGTTCCGTGCGACATATTCTTGAAATTGTATAACTTAAATCGATTGATCGATGTTAATAAAAAACAAGAATGTGTTTGTAAGTAGAACTTTTATCTATACAATTTTAATGCTAAGTATAGAATGAAAGAATGACCTTACTGTTCTGCTTTTATAATGTCTTTGTTGGTATTGATTTCGAATGTAAAGAAAAACGAAATATTTCTTTTTTTTTATCAAAAGACACAAAAGAAAGGATTGCATGTTAATAGAAAAAGAAAGAAAAGAAATAATGAATTACCATACCATAATAGTTATTTTAGTCCAAACGAAATTAAAGAAAAGACTTCAATACAAAAGAAAATGTTCGTATGATTTATATATAACGTCGGTATTAGGACTTCGAATGAACTAACTTGCGCCTATTAAATTTGATTCAAATGTTACAAAATTTTGAATCAGTACACTCATTATTTTATTTCCCTCAAAAAATAGACCAGCTGACAGGTTGCTCATTTAAGAAAAATTCTTCTTGAAAATAGGTCGGCTTGTTATTCTGGTCAAGTTTACTTTATTTGCGAAGGAGGAGAACAAAACAAAGATATTTCGTTGAATAAAAACAAAGTTTTTCAACGTCAATAGACAAATAAATTTGTATTAACAATTTGCCGACTAAATGTCTACATATCAATGTAAGACCAATAAGCTTTAGTAGATGAACTAAAATAGTGACATGCTTATGTCAATCGAATTGGTCGGTCTTCTGCCGTCATCTGTACATTTGATTTCGTTGATAAATTACTATTACTCGAATTTCATCCTTTTTCTTTATTCTCTTTTGTATATTGATTCACTCTCGATTGCATAAATGTTTGCATCAACGAAAAGATTAAATGAGACTTTTCGAAGAAAGCAATTGTACAATAATACTATGTGATGCGTCTAGAGAACTTTGTGTCTTATTCAAGATATCATTCCTAGATAATTATCAATCTGTGGATCAAAGTCATAAGCTATGTGATAATAAAAGGCAGAAAAAAAAGTCTGACTTTCATCGATCTTTTGCTTATTAAAAATTAATTAAAATGATACAATTATTATCTAATTTTCAACAGATTATTTTATTTGCAATCGATTTTATACAGCTATTGGATTGTGGATCCATTTTAATCGATTATTAGAAAATTTAATCGATTAAAATAGATTGAAATTTAATGAAATATGGCTAAAAAATTGTAAAGTATATTTTTGTCTACCAAAACATAAATATAGTTGATTCTTATTTAATTTATCAACATTCTGTTTTATTTGAATAAGTTTAAATATAAATACATATCTTGAAGTGTAATTTAGATGATAAAAATTATCAAGTATTATACTTACTATTTGTTGAGTCAATGCGTGCAAAAAAAGAAATAAAAACTTGAGTTTCGAAATCAAAACAAGAGAAAAACGCGTTTTATGTTGATTGCAGTTAAAAGCAATAAGTGTCATTGTAACCGATATGTAATCAGAGAAAGAAATTGATGACAACTAGATTGTTTTCTGTCATTTTTTACATGAATAGCTTATGGGCGTTTATTACAAAATCAAATCAGTTCGACCAATTAGTAGCCGTGGTCGGCATAGAATGCTTTAAACATATCGACATACCAAAGTTATTTATTGACATACATACAAATAAGCAAAAATAGCCGAGTTATAAGTTTATCATTGCATGAACACTTAGGTTGTGTATTGGTTTATTTATTAGATAGTCTTTGCTTAATTCTATGTATTTATGAAGAAGTGTAATTGACTATATTGATCGTCAAACATTACTTCAATGTAGATTTGAATCTTGTTAAATGTTTTTATTTAATTTGGAATATTTAGATCTATTATATTTCAATCAATTTGATAAACTTTCTAACTGAATGGAATATGATTTCTAATAAAAATCTTTCTATAGCAGAAGTTTAATTTGATCATCTCATTCGTATAACTATTTGAAATCATGTTATTGCTTTTGCTATCGAATTGGATCGTTCATATTGAATTATATTTATGTAAATAATTAATCTATTATGCACTTGTATATTTATTTTCAAATTATCTATTTCAATATACTTCAATGTATTCAGTGAAAAATTTTATTGGAATTAAGTTTTTGACTTGGAATCATAGTAAGAAAATACATTTTTCAAATTTTCTTTTAATGATTGAACTAAAATCTATACAATATCTAAAAACGAATTAAATAAATCTTTCTGAACTGTGAATACAAAAAACATCAAATTCTCGAAAATCATATTGGCAATCTTTCTTTTTTCGAAGACATTTAATATTGATACATTGTAAAATTGACATGAAAAAATATAAAATACTTTTGTTTATTTATTAGTTTTAATTTTGATTGAACGAATAAAAAAAAAAACAAGCTGCATAAATATTGTTTCCATGTCAACTTTAATATTTGTACGTTAGCGAGAAGTATGTGCTGATATGTTTGCGCATGCTTTTCGATTCGATAATTTGCGAATTTCGAATCCTTCATACAACTTCATCACTTCTTTTAATTTAAACTTCGTATTCTTCTGTGTGTGTCTACACCACTAATATACGTACATATAATTACAAGCAAACTTAACGCTTCCAAATCATTTTTCTTTTATCTTCGTTCTACAATATATTTTACTAATTTCTCCTTATTGTAATTATATCAAACAAAAGAAAAACAAAAAATAATAATTATTATTCATTTATGATTTATCAGATTATGATATTGATTCATTGAATATTATTCGAAGTGGCGTCGACACATTTACAATCAATAGTATGAACAATTCTCTTTCATTAACTAATGCAAAACACGATCCTAAAGGGTTAAAAAATCCTAAAGTTACAACTCAAGGACAACAATTACCAACAAAATCAAAACTTTATTCATCGAATGGTACAAAAAATTATTCAACAAGTACCGATGCTCAACAGCCGCTTCTTCAATTAGGTTTTCGTATAAATGAAAAATTAATTGGTACTGGTTCGTATGCAAAAGTCAAGTGAGATTTCAAATAACATAAGAAAATATTAATCGAATTTAACCTTTTTTTCTTGTGGAATACAGAAGATGCATACGTGAAATTGATAATAAAGAATTTGCAGTGAAAATAATCGATCGTGATAAAGCTCCTAGTGATTTTGTTACTAAGTTTTTACCACGTGAACTTGATATTATTAGAATATTAGACCATCCAAATATTATCAAAGTTAATTTTAAGAACAAATAAAAATCATATAATCATTTCTATTAAAAGGTACAACATATCCTTGAAACAAAATCTCTTACATTAATCGTTATGGAATATGCATCCAATGGAGATCTGCTTGATTATATAAATGTAAGCAAAAAACGAAAAATTTCTAGCTAAGATTTGATGGAATTTGCTTCATACGTAAAAGAACTAACACAAAATAGTATGTGATGCAAAAGTCTTAGCAAAAATATCAAACTCTCTTAGATTCTATTATCAACTTCTCAAACAATCAAATTTTTTTTTGTTAGAAAGATATATATTTGAAATAAAAATTCTGTACCAGACTTATGTTTTCAAAAGAAACCTGACAAGTAGGAAAAGCCCAAAATTAAATACCTTTAAAAAGAACTTCTTGTAATTTCATCATCGCGCAATATCATTTTCTTTTTCTTTGTTAAACTTTTTATATTAGAAGTGGAATGAAAAAAAAAACTGTTTAATTGGAAGTTTAATCTTAATTTTTATACCAAAATATAACTTATTTTTCAACAGACGCCGTACAATTTGGTAATTTTCACTACCAAACTGTTTCATAACAACAAAAAAATATTTTTTTGAATTGGTTTTTCTGCTAATTTGCTATGTATCGAAATATATCGAACAAACCACACACATGAAAAATTCAATTCATCCATGGACTCTCGATATTGTGGTTGATGTCCTTCTAAACTGTTTGTTCTCGTAAAAGACTCTATATTACAAAAATTTCAACTTCCAAAAATTTTTTTGATTAAATATTCAAGAACAGATCTAAAATACTTTTTTCAATGTTGACATCAATAGAGCTTTTGATGTATTACATTTTGGTGTCGTTTTTGTAAGAATTCAATCTATGTAGTAGAACTTATGGGGTTGATTCCGAGTCCAAATTCGAAAAAATGGTTTTGATGGGCTCCCCCATGTAGCTTAAAATAATTGAAAAACAGAAGCTTTTAAAGTTGCAAGAACTTTTCTACATGTTCTCAACTTTTTCTCTTTCTTAGATTCGTTCTAAAAAAATATATCCGATAGAAAATTCTCAGCTGAAACACTACTTTTTCGAAAAAGAATTAGATTGGTTTAAAAGTTGCTAGTATAGTCTAACAGAGTTTGACATTTTTTGTCAAGACATTTACATCGTATATTATTCATTTGTTGCTGAGCATATATGAAAGGTGATATCTTAGACGTTGTTTAGCTTCTAGAAAACGACCCGTCTACAAGAATCAGTTGCTCGACGTATGTTTCGTGAATTATGTGATGCTATTTATTATATTCGTAAGAAAATTTCTTACTATTATTCTATTGAATACTGTAGTTTTAATTGTTTAAGATTTTCGAAATATATGTCATCGGGACTTGAAGTAAATTATATTTATATATAATAATATATTTTTTCTGAATTATTTTCAGATGTGAAAATCTTTTATTGGATAATCACTTACGAATTAGTAAGTTCAAAATTGATATTTAACAAAGTTGATGCAATTCTTGTGATAGAATTAGCCGATTTTGGCTTCTCTCGTTATTGTGGTTCGTTAGAAATCTTCTTTTGGTTTTTTTTTAATAGCAAAACTTCATATTAATTAGTTGATCCTCCACCAAGTGACAATAAAAAGAACATGATTGAAAAAAAGATTTTAAGTCGAACATTTTGTGGTTCGGCTGCATATGCTGCACCAGAAATTCTTCGTGGTCAAGAATAGTATGTTCTCAAATCATATCAAACAATAACGTTTTTTTTTTGTTATTCTACATCCTTT